TGGGGAATGTAGTTACATTAGATGTTCCTCAATAGGGGTAATTGTCTTGCATCCTTATCTCTTATCATAATCTGTTTTTCTTCACACAGTGTTATAGTTTTGCTGCTGGACTCTTCCCTCCCTCCCCCCACCCCATCAGGATGATATGAGACTTGAAAGAAGACGATGCATACAGGTGACTCAAGTTTTGAAATACAGTAAAGCTGTGGCTGTCTGAGCGAATGTGGGAACTGGTGCTGTATTTTGAATGGGGGAGCTTTCTGATAAACAGCATTGGGGGGGAATTAAATTTAGATCAATAAATACAAAGTTAGTTGGAATATTTACTAAACGACTTTGGGAGTCCATTTGATAGTGAGTTACAGTGTGGTATTAATACAAGTACAGCATAGTGATTGCTAGTCTTGACCTTTTTGAAAGTGGTTGGTTGGCTAATACTTTGGTGAGAATTGAAGGGTTTCTGTTAAAAATAAAATATTCACTAGTATTCACCTTTATGGTTGAATGTGTGTGTCCTTCAGATCCCCATTAAAATAGAGTGAATCTTTTAAAGGCATGTGGAGTAGGTGTTAGTAGTGTATCTAAAATAAGACTGACAATTAAATTAAGGATGTTACACCCATATGTATGATTCTTTGGAAAAAAATGGTCTGGGATTTTGTTTTTCTTCCCCCTTGTTCCCTCCATCCCTATCTCTTTCTCTTCTTTCTTCCCTTTCTCCTTTCCTTTCATCCATTTGTTATTTGTATTTATGCAGGAGAAGCACTATAAAGGCATTTCTGAAAGAATTTTTTGGATTGCTTTATTATTAATTGAGGTGATCTTATTGATGGAAAATGGGAAACTGGAGGCTAGCTCATCTATGGCTATGTTCAGACTCTTGAAAATACAGTGTAGCTAATGGATAAAGTGTTAACCTTTAAACTTGTATGTTCTTTAAATCAGACTGATTGTGAGGTGTTTTGTTGAACCAAGTGGCTTATATCTACAGACTTTGTCAGGATAGTCTTAATTGGATTATATTTATAAACTGTTTGAAAAATGTGGTCTTTAACTGGAAAAGAAGTAACTACATAAACCTCATATAGATACTTAATCACATTATTGGTGTAGCTCTTAACATTTTGTGACTAGTTTTTGTTTTTGGTGATCTTTGTTTTCTAAAGGAAAAAATTACCTTTTTGACTTTAGAGTGGGATTTAAAAAAATGACTATTATTTTGAATGAAGAAATATGTTTGAATATATTTTTAAGTTAAATTATAGATCAAATAATACTTTATGTTCCTGAGGGACTCAAAGAATCTGATGGTAATTGTTTTTTAGGTAGAAGGTGACTGAGTAATCCTCTGTGCCCCATCTCCGATGGGCGCGTGTGTGTCTGCCTAGGCAAACTAGAGCTGCTCCGCGTGCGGGTTCTGGCTGAGTGGCCGAGAAAGTCAACATGGTGCTCAGCCTGAGTAGCACCGTCGTAAAGAAATAAATAGGAGTATTTACAGAGAAATATTTTAGAATTTTATGAACATTTTGTTGTCAGATTTTATAAGTTTGGCCTTTTGGGGCAGGAACAGTTTCTCAGCACTGTCAGCTCCTGGATTGCTCGCTGGGCAGTATACTGCACATTGGCTATACCAAGTAGATGCTCACTTTCAGCTGAGGTCAGTAGAGGAACAAAGTATTTTTGGGGTATCTCATAGATTTATCCATGAATATTAATGATTTTGGAGATTTTCCCTGATGAAATTTTGAGGTGGCAAAGTTGCTATTTTATTTCTACTTTAATCTTTACACGATACGAAGCATTCCCAAATAGCTCTTTTTCTTGAAGGGCTTATGGATGAAGTGGGAAATATCTAAAGAGTGAATACCATTTATAAAGGTTACCTAGTTAATTTTATGAATGCTAGAAGACAAAAAAATTCTACAGAGGTTAGATATATGATATAATCCAGTCTCTATCATTTGGCCTTGTATTCTTTAAAAACTGTCAACATTTATTGACTTATAAAGGAAAAAAACTCAAGGAAGATCTAGCTTTCTCTAGTATATGTATTAGCTCTTGGTGTATTTCCCTTTTAAACAATTTGCAAGTTAATAATTGTTTTTGGACATAAAATTAGCAGCTGTCCTAATCATCATTAATTAATGCAACAGTTTGCTCTTGTATTACTGTGCACACATTTTATTATACTTCAACTGATAGCACTTTAACACATAAAAGCTCATAAGAAGTTTTTCAGTGAAAGTTATTTCTAGAATGCTTATGCATACTTGAAAGTGAATATTCTGTTTTCCCTAGGCTTTCATTGTACTGACTTTATGTTGGTTAGCTGTGATGATACCCTACTCTTTCATACCATTTCATTGATTAAGCATGGGTACAGGGATACCAGAAAGGTTATTGAAGTAGGTGTTGACTGATGATTGGTTTTTCAAAAGCAAAAGCTTTAATAATAGATTTTTACTGAACACCAAGCCAGAGTCCAACTTTGATGCATCTCTAGTACTTGTGTATATAGGTATTCTTGTACTTGTTTCTTTTTGCATATTTAAAAATAAGAATACAAATAAAGTAAAATTAGATTATTTTTTAATTTTTGGATGAAAAAATTATTTGTGACCGAACATTTATTTGGTTAACATTTGCTTTGTACCAGGTACTGTAACATACTGTAATAGGTGCTCTGCTCACAAGGGTCCCTGTGCTTAGGAATCCAGGAGCACAGTTCAGTTGGAGGAGGGGGCAGATATGTAAGAAATGATGCAGTGGATGGTTATGATAAATCATGTTTTTAAGACTTAATGTATTGAATTTAAGGCATCTAGAGTAAAAACAGAAAATACTCTTTGGTTAATAGTATTCGCAATAGTGGCCTCACCTGACATCCACATGCTGATGTTACCAGGGTCTGCATTTGTGTCCCATTCCTTTCTCCTGAGCTCCAGACTATGTGGCTGCCTCCTGGATGTCTCTTCTGCACACACCCCTTCACTCCCTTTCATTCCCTTAAGAGATGAGTGACATTCTACCTAAGCATACCGTTATCCTGGGAACCTAGGAACATTCTTTACCCTTTTGAATTAAGACGTAACCAGATTTCATTTATTTGAAGGATGTAGAATCACTCAGTTCTGAGATTGCATTTGCAAGATGCACTGTCTGTGAGATTACTGTGTATATTAACATAAAAGCCCTTGCATTTTTTTCAATTTAACTTGATAAAAGGAACTCTCCCCACCCTTTTTTTTGTTGTTTATGCTCATTAGCATCCAGTGGGACATAATTTCTGGAAATCTGTTGGATATAGCAGTTGATGCCATTCTTTATTTTGTTGACATGGGCTTCTTTAACAATTAAAATTGTCTTTGAACAACAGTGATAGGCTAGTCACTTTAAAACTTGAAATAGTTCTAGAACATACAGAATGACAACTCTTTTAGGAGGAATGCCTTGGAAATTTATTTTAAATTGTGCCGATTTGTTCATAGGGTCATTGTCATATTTGTTAAATGTATGAATTTAAGTGTTTAAAACTAATATGGCAAAATTTAAAATTTTAGATTCTCTATTTAAAAATGTGAGTTTTGTAGGGCAAGGTTTGCGTACTTCAGCTATCATAGGAGTATGACATATATTATAGAACAATTAGAAGCCAGATCTGTAAATTTAAAAAAAAGAACTTTTAAATCTCACTCAGATGCAGGGTGCGCTGTGTTGGGTTTGTACATTGAAATATTTGGCACATATTGCCAGTTGCCTCCTTTTGGAATTGTTCTTCACACAGTCCTGTGCATCTGATCTTTATGTGTTTTCCCTTCTGTAGCTCCTACTCATTTCTTAACCGTGGGCTATCAGATTCCATTCTAATAATTAACAGATTTATTGTTTTTGGTGAATGATAAACTCAGTGAATTTATTTTTGCTCTCAGATTTTTACTTTTTCTCTCTTATTATTTAAAAGTAATACACAATCACTGAAAAAATTTGGAAATTTATAAGAATATAGGTAAGTAGAAGGAAATATACCCAAAGTTCTGTGTACTTCATTCTGGCACATTCCCTTTCAGTTTTGGTTTTCTGTGCCATTTTTGACGCTCAGGATGGTATGCTTGGGTTAGAATGTATTTTATATTATTTATATCTTCTCTTTTTTGGCTTAGCATTATATCATAAATATTTCCCTGTGTCATCAAAAACGTAACTAACTATAGTGATCTGCTGTCATTTTAAATTTGAACCAGTCTAGAGCATTCAGAACTATAACTGTCTTCTGAGGGTGAATTACTTTTAGAAATTCATTTTAAAGTGTGCTGATTTGAGACTATTTCATTATATGATCATTTCCTAGTTAAGTTTGATATCTCTTTATTAGACATTGCTTTTTTTTTAAATTTTTCCTTTCCGTTTTTTTTAAAGCACTAATATCTGTGCATAAATGTTTGGTTGTATGTTAAATTACTTTCTTATAATTGATTCCTAGGAGTGTAAGTATTGGGTTATAGAGTTTGGAAAATTTTAAGGCCCTTGATACAACTTTTCAGAAAGTTTTTTGTTAATATGTACCAGTTTACACTCACTAGCATTACATGAATGTGTGTCTTTTAATATAACTTTGTGAGCATTGAGTATTATAGTTAAAAATAACTCTCTAATTCAGTTGGCAAAAAGAAGAATCTCCTATTTTAGGAAATACGAAAGTAATAGTGTATACTTAGCGGAGGAAAGAGTTCCAAGTGCTTCTGAAATGTATAATAAAGTAAGTGGCGCCTGGCTGGCACATTCGGAAGAGCATGTGACTCTTGATCTTGGGATGGTGAGTTTGAGCCCCAAGTCAGGTGTAGAGATTACTTAAATAAATAAAACTTAAAAAAAGAAAAAAGAAATGCATAAAGTAAGCAACAAACCTAAAAGTTTGGTAGATATTCTCCTTCCAGGATTATTTCTTTCTAGCAAATCATTTTTAGCTAATGCCTTTATAGTGTTTGCACACGTTTGCTTACCGGTTTTTTTGTCCCACCTGGTCTGACAGTTCCTCAAGATCAGAGGGCTGTGGCTTATCTTTCTTGTGTGCCCCGTGTCTGTGTAGCAGGGTTCCTGGGACATAAAAGTGGCTTAGTGAATCCTTGCAGAAAGAATAATTTTTGCCATCCTAATCCCTAAAAATATCTTAATGTGAATGTTTGCTCTAATAAATTTCTTAAAATTGTTTTAAGACTTCCACTTTATTTTCTCTTTCATTTTCCTTTTGTATTTCGTATTTTTATTATTTCAGCCTCTAATTTCTAAGTGGAAGCAATTAATGATTACATCCTGTACATATCACGTAAGAGAGCATTTGATATATATGGAAATGATGGGAAACCCAAGGTTAATCACATTGCAAAGTTGCATTTCTTGGTCCTTAGTGCTTTTATTCTAAAGTAAAAGCAAATAAATTGATCTTTGTTAATTTTAGATTTTAGGGGGGGCGCCTGGGTGGCTCAGCTGGTTAAGTGTCTGCCTTCTGCTCAGGTCATGATCCCAAGGTCCTGGGATTGAGCCCCGCATCAGGCTCCCTGCTCAGCGGGGGGCCTGCTTCTCCCTCTCCCTCTGTCGCTCCCCTTGCTTGTGCTCTCTTGCTCTCTTTCAAATAAATAAAATCTTAAAAAAAATTTTAGATTTTAGGGATACTTACTAAATATACCTCCAAAAGAATGTTTGAGCTCTGAGAAGACAGCAGGGCATAGTTTTTTGAATCTCTACAGCTTTCTCTAAAAACAGAGTAGCTAGAACGGCAAAACTAAAAATTCACGTTCAGCTACCTCTACAAGACTAGGTGAATGGTATCCCCACAAACCCTAATATAATGGGTGGCAAATATCCAATAACGACAAGACCTGCTTGATGTCAGCATTTCTACAGAGGGATGCAGAAGGAAGCAGCGGGCTATCTGAAAGTCCTGAGAACAAAAAAACCTCAAGATAGCCACCAAAAACTCCCTGGAAAGTGTGTCAAGCAAGTTTGAGAACAGCAGAGACTAAGATGTTTCTCAGTTCCCAGTATATAAGGGATGCACAGGAGTTCTTTGGGGTCAGAGCTGTCTGGTCCCTATGAACTTTCAAAGCCAGCTGAAGCTCCTTCCTGGCCAAAGCCCCACTCTTAAGGAGACACTGCTGGGAATAGAATCCACATTAAGCAGGATGGAGGCAGTAGAGGCAAAGGGAGAAAGGTCAGATGAAGTGGGAGAAGGTGAATGCACAGGAGACCTCATTTATGAGGCTGTATTTCAGTACCCTTCATAAAAACAGGAAAGGCCTATTACTAAACACAGAAAAGCTAGCTCCTCCAGTTTTCTTGAAAATTTTTTATTTTATATGAAAATGAGTAACAGACAAGGATCATAGTCAAATTTCCGACAGAGGGTGTTTTTTTTTTTTTTTTTTTTTTTTGAGAGTGAGCAAGTGAGCCCATGAGAGAGCACAAGCAGGGGGAACTGCAGAGGGAGAGGGAGAAGCAGGCCCCTGCTCTGAGCTGGGAGCCTGTTGTGGGGCTTGATCCCAGGACCTTGGGATCATGACCTCAGCAGAAGGCAGACACTTAACCGGCTGAGCCACCCAGGCACCCCTCCCACAGAGTTTTTGTAAGAAGAAAGGAATAAGGAGCAGAATAAATATTCGTGAAGACAATGAAAGCGTGCCAGAAAGAAATGTCCATGGAACTAGTGAAAACTATAACCTAATGTTTCAGAAGAAACCCAAGTAAATTTAGAAAGTGATACAAATACAAAAGCAACATAAATCTGAATAGGGAAGTCTTAGAAATGTGACAACTGAGGAAAGAGAAATTAAAAAAAAAAGTCACTAATGAAATGAAACCTAACCTAGAAGGAACACAAGAGTGAAAAGCACAATGGAGAATTTTAGAGAAACTGAAGAGAAATAAGAGAAAAGAAATTAAAAACTGAAGAAAAATAACCATCTAGAAAAAGATGCGTTATTAAAGACAGTAAGGTGTCAACTGTAGAGTAATAAGAGATCCCGAGGAGGAAGCAAAGCAATGAAAATAAGTACTAATAATTGAAGTAAATTTCCTGAAATAAAAGATTTGCTACCGCATTTGGAAAGGGCGTGTTGTATACTTATGTAAATAGATACAGAAATGACCAACAGGCAGATATATTCTTTAAAAATTACTGGACTTGAAAGAAAAGAATCTTGGGGTATCTAGGTGAAGACCCAAGTCATTATGAAGGGGAAAAAATATTAGATTATCTGATTTTGATAGCAACACTTTATGCCAGAAGCAATGGAGTAACACCTAGTATTCTCAAGGAAAGCAAAAGAGAGCCTGGAGTTTTATATCCAGCTAAATTGACTAAAGTATAAAAACAGTGTTATGAACACAATATGAAGTTGGGGAACTTTTGTTTCTTTGAACACTTGAGGAATCTACTAGGGAGTAAACTTTGGCAACCAAGAAGACTTTAGGGACATGGATATAAGGGAAGTGTTACTCAGATGCTGGTGAAACTTACACCAGGTGATGGCGTGTGTGACTGTAATATATAATGCCGATATTCTCTTCTCTGAAGGTGCAGTACCAATAATCAGAAAAATAAAAGTAGAAGAAAGTTGCTGTTTGCTTCATAGTTATTAATGGGGAGTGAAAGGATATTCAAATCAGATGCCTAGAGAAAAGGAAAGGTAGCGGGGAGAAAGTTACTAACTAAATTTCTGTGCTGTTTCTAAGTAGGGGAATCAGGGCATACTTCTTCACCTCAAGACACATAAAAGAAAGGAAAATAGAAGGGATCTGGGGGTATGATATAAATACATTAGTATAGAACTAACCATCAGAACAAAGTACAAGCTCCAAATCTCAGTTTCTTCCTATGGAGAATAATACCTCATAATACATGGAGTGCAGGGTGCATATATCACAGTTGTCCAAGAGATGTGCTCTTATTTTTGTTATTAGTATTATTTCCCCGTCCAGTTATTACCATACTGTTTATGCATATTTGGGGCTTGTATTTTCTTTTCTTTTCTCTTCTCTTCTTTTCCTTTCTTTCCAAGATTTTATTTATTTGACAGAGAGAGAGACAGTGAGAGAGGGAACGCAAGCAGGGGGAGTGGGAGAGGGAGAAGCAGGCTCCCCACTGAGCAGGGAGCCCGATGCGGGGCTCGATCCCAGGACCCTGGGACCATGACCTGAGTGGAAGGCAGACACCCAACAACTGAGCCACCCAGGCACCCCTTTTCTCTTCTCTTCTCTCTTCTCTTCTCTTCTCTTCTCTTCAAGATTTTATTTATTTATTTATTTGACAGAGCAAGAGAGCACAAGCAAGGGGAGCAGCAGAGGAAGAGGGAGAAGCAGGCTGATGTGGGGCTCCATCCCAGGACCCTGGGATCATACCCTGAGTCGAGGGCAGATGCTTAACCAACTGAGCCACCCAGGTGCCCCAGAGCCTTGCATTTTCTTAAATTTCTCCTGTATTTGAGAAATTGACATGTCTTCTCAAATTACATGTTAATGTCTCAAATTTTATATTATGCTTGTATTATCAGAATTACAGTCAATTCAAATTTATATCTCATTTATGTAATTTAAAATTTGTGTTGAAGGGCTGTTTTATTTATTAGGTGTTAAGATTATGCAACTTTGTCGTCTACAAGTTGGACTTGGAATTAGGCAGAAAGCATTTCCAGGAGCAGGTAGTAGGGAAAAAATGTGATGGGTAAAGGTTTTTTTTCTGGGAACCAAGTTAGCTCAAAATAAACATTTTGCTTTTTCATAATTATGAAATGATTAACATCCATTTTTATCTGAATATAGTAGAAAGATATCTTGTCACAATTATGCAGATCTGTTGTTGAAAGATACCTGAAATACTTAAGCTCTCTTTTTTCCCCATTCATATGAGACACGTTTGTAATGTTTTTCTTTCTTTGAGAGTAGGGACTTTTTCCAACCCCTCATCTTTTTTATAAGGTGTGTGTGTGTGTGTGTGTGTGTGTGTGCGCGCGCGCGCGCGCACATGCACATGCATAACTATCCTATGAAATATAATTTATGCACCATAAAATTTATGCATTTTATGGGTAAATTTGAGTTTTTATGGAACTCACACAATTGTGCAGTTATCACCACCACAATCCAGTTTATCTATTTTTACTTAAAAATAATTCAGGTTCAGATAGAACTTCTGTAAAGAAGAAGGTGAAAATCACCAGTAATCCTTTAACATTCAGGTAATAATCATTGTAATTTTTTGGTATATATATTGCCTGTTACTTTATGTGCATATGGCTCCTTCAGACCATATTTAAGAAACAAAATTGGGGTCATATTTTACTTTTTATAGTCTTTCAAAATTTTAACATTTCTCCATCGTTAATATTATTTTATAGTATCATTTTTAATGGCTAATTAGTATTCTGCAAATCAGTTACTATTTAACCTATTCCCCATTGTTGCTAATTATTTCGTAAATAATGTTTAAGTGAACATTACTGTGTAGTTTGCATTCCTCTTTGATTTATTGCCTAGGTCCAATTCCTCAAAGTTGCAGTTGTTGAATTAAAGGATAGGTACATTTTTACAGATTTTTGAACATATTTTCAAATATCTTTTTTTTTTTAAAGATTTTATTTATTTATTTGAGAGAGAGAGAATGAGAGACAGAGAGCACGAGAGGGAAGAGGGTCAGAGGGAGAAGCAGACTCCCTGCTGAGCAGGAAGCCCGATGTGGGACTCGATCCTGGGACTCCAGGATCATGACCTGAGCCGAAGGCAGTCGCTTAAACAACTGAGCCACCCAGGCGCCCTCAAATATCTTTTTTTTAAAGATTTTTATTTCAGAGCGAGTGAGTGTAGGCATGAGCAGGGGGAGGGGCAGAGGGGGAAGCAGACTCCCCTCTGAGCAGAGAGCTTGGTGTGGGCCTTTTATCCCAGGACCCAGGGATTATGACCTAAGCAGAAAGTAGATGCTTAAATCGACTGAACCTCCCAGGCGCCCCTCAGATATCTTTTTAAAGTACAATTTATGCTTCTACCAGTTACACATCAGTATTTTCCCATACTCTAAAGTCCTGGGTATTTAAAAAATGTTTGCC